GCCATTACAAAATGCATCGAACTAATGTTATATGAGTGTAAGTGCATGATTCGTAAAAATGAAAAGAAACCACAGGATTTGATGGTTGTTGATATTTGTGGTGAAAAAGTTTTTTTCAGTAAATCTTGGTGAAGTAGATTTGATGGACGCTTTACGAACTAATCCTTTGGTATGCTTCGCTAAGAAAAGCTCAGATCTTAGTTTATGATTTCGATTTCAGATCCCCAAATATCCAGCTCCACCAGACCCTGTGATTTCAGTTGAGAGTGAGATGCAAACTTCACCGCCAGTGGATCCTTCTTTCCCAAAATTTGAAACTTCTGTTGGTGTTGCTCAACCTGAGGCAGAGGCAGTACCGATTCCTCCCCCAGAGCCACATGCTGCCGAAGAGTCGTCATCAGATATGTCACTAGCTTCTACGACAGATTCTGCTGCTAGAATAAGTGATCTGGCTGATGGTTGCTCATTTATTTCAGACGACGAAGACGAAGAGGTTTGTTATGCAGATTTTTTGATTACAGTTTAGTTTAAACTTTTTAGTTTTTGTATTTGTAGCTATAGAAAGGCATGCTTTACCCCTATGTTCTCGAATTCTGGGTTTTACTTGAAATCTCTTGTTCTAGCCAACAAAACAGCCACAAGTGAACAGTATTGAGGTCAACGATGGTCTTTCTACGATCAGCAATAGTCCAAGCAATAGCCCTCCGCTACAAAGCCCTCCTCTTAGCAACTCTGAGCTTCAGAATCGGCCAGCTTCAAATGATTCACCTGAAGGCCCTCTTCCACCCCCTCCTCCACCGCCGATACTCCCGCCTAGCACAAGCACTAGCTCAATACCGTCATTAATGAGTCTGAGGTTTAATGAGTAGGTTGCTTCTTTCTTTCGAAAGTAGGGACGCTTTAATTGATTTCGGTCATTTTAGCAATCTTGATTACGACATGCCACCACGTCGCGACATCCGTCAACAAATCATCATCACTCCAGAGCGACCCCCAGCACCAGCACCGCCGCCGACAGACTACGCCGAGGCAGATTCATCGTCTACAATTCCAGCGCAGCAGCCATTCTTTTTCCAAGCTCCGCCTTTGAAGTCGAAACGGACAATCTCTAACCCAAACCTCAACTCACTAAATGATCCCGTGTATCCAGTGCTAAATCCTGTTTACTCAGCAGGTGTGCAAGTCTTTCCTGGATTACATCAAGGAGTATCGGGTTATCCTAGTGAAAAACCATCTACGGGAGAGATGCCGCCAACCCTTCAGTCTTGTTTCTACGGAGCTGGGCCATCAGCACTGGGAGAAGTCTCATCGTCTACCAATTTTATACCATACCAAGGCGACAGCAGATTATCCGATATGCCAGGTTTTTCACAATACGACAATAGCCTACCTCCTCCATTAAGGGTGGAATCGGTAAGGATTCTTTATTGAATTACAAATAACATTTTTGAAGTGTTCATAAACTTTAAGTTTCAGCCAGTCCATGGCCATTTGCCCCAAGATTTTGCAGCAGCAGAGAGCAGCTCGATTATGGAACCTCCGGAGAACTTGTTACCAGCTCGTCCGCTCGGTGAAAGTGGTGAGTCAGTTATCCACTTTTTGCATCTATTGATGCCGTACAAGTGCTTGTCACTACATCATTCTTGTAACCATTATTTTATTTATCATAGTTTTATTATCCTGCATAATACTTATCATTCTTATGACCGGCATATCATTGCTATTATCGAACACTATATATGTACCATATTACTATTTATCTATTATGTTTATCTGGTTTGGT